AATTTTCGTTTAAGATGTCAACAATCTCACTGGTCGTATTTGTAACATTTCCTTCAATGTTTTTTATTGCTTTAATTAAGCTCTTTACATTTTGTTGATCGTTCACATATTTAAATTGTATTTCCTTGTTCCTAATAGATTTGTAGACCGGTTCGCGTTCGTATTCTTTTCTGCCTTTTTTCGTTTCAGTTTTAACTTTTCTACACAATGCTTTGTATTCGTTTACCGTATTTTTGTTTTTCCAATTTGTGCAACAATTTAAATGTCTCATTCGTCTTTTGTTCTTCACAAGTTCTTTTAGTTCATTGTCAATCCAAAAAATTCTTTTACGAGTCCTGTTTTTCGAGCTGTGACACGGTATATATTTTTGACAAGCATCATTAACGTAAAAAATGAGTGTGTCGTACATCTCCTGAACATTAATTGCATCGAAAATGTTTGCTCTGTCTACATTTGTAAAAAAGTTGTTCATTCAGCTTTTTTAAAAAAATATTTTCGATTGCTAGCTACAGTTATTTTCTCATGGTGATTAAGTGCATACTTAAAGCAAATTACAAGATGTCCTTTGCTTATATTCCCCAATACCGCATTTGTCTCAACTTTAAATAATCTTTGTTCGTTTACTGTGAACAGTAAATCCAATGTACTCTCGTAAGTTGAATCGTTCAGTTAAAAAGTAGGTATTGCTACGTGCTGAATTAGAAACTCGTTGTTTATTATTTCCGAGAAATAATCTTCTATTGAGTGTTTATTGAAGTTTATTGCATGGACTACTTCATCTGACCTTTTAGTTTTCAAAAAATTAAAGTCACTAATAATTAATAGATCTTTAAAACCCTGTTCGTCCACATATTCTTTTGCAGTTCTGAAAACATTTCTGAACAGTTCTATATCTATTACATCGTTTGGTCGGTATATGCATCCTACCAAATATTTGTTGTTCTTGAAAAATAGTACAGTCCAAATATAATCTAAGGCAGTCGTCAATAGCCATTTTTTCATTTACTTCATAAGACGTTATTCCGTTATTCACGTAAATACAAACTCCTCCGCCCACACGTCCCTTTTTTTTGTCGCTACGATATAAACAAAAGTTTTCCATGCACGTAATTGAAGTTTCACTAAACCATGTTTCCTTTACTCCGATTATATTTGGTTTATTCAGGTGACACAATATTTTATATTCCTCAAATTTGTTGTTTAATGAAGTGGCGTTCAAATATATACAGGATAAATAAATTAATTTTTTGCTTATTTTATGATTACTATAGTTGTTTTTTAAATCGCACAATCTTGTTTTCACGAATTGCATATCGAAATCGCAACTTAATGTCCTGTAGTCTCTTTGCCATTGTCAAGTCTGGGCATATATAAACTTCTATAAAATCTTGTGTTTCTCTTAACTTTTTTGACGCGAGTAAGAGAAGATTATTCTCGCCTTCGGATAACTCGAGTAGAATCGGGCCAGGTTTGATAGCGTTTTTTGATTTGAGTCTCCTCAAATGTATCGGTTTAACATTTTCTTTTTCTTTTGATTTCAGTAAGTCCTCAATTGCTTTCTTGTCTTCTTTAGTCTTATCTTTGCTCTCAGTTTTGCTCGACTCTTTAATTCCATATATAATGACGTTCTTTTCACTTTTTTTCGCTTCTCCTGCTTATTAATTGCTGCGGTAACCACAACTAGTTGTTCTTTCGGTTTTTATGCGTTTTGCGACACTACATTAACCCAATCATTTCCATTGTTATTAATTTTCTAATAAAATTTTGTTTAAATTTTGTTAACGCGCAAGAAGAAAAAAAAGAATTAAAAGTTTTTTTTTCGGTGCCAAAAATCAAAGAAATACTTTGAGATAAAAAATACAGATTTTTCATTCACTAAAACTCTTTTGATTTTTTTCTTAAAGCCAGATACAAAACTTTGTTTTAACTAGGTTAAGTAAGGCTTACGTCCTATTAACTTATAAAACTTCATTTTGCTAACAACAGTAATAGTTTTCCTTTACAGTTGTTGATTTTCCATAATGGTGTTTAAGGTTAAGGCACTGAGTAAAAACAACAAAAACAAAAAAGTTATCTATAACTGTGGGGGAGTGCGTTCATAATTTATTTTATTAGAATGCTCAAAAGTGTAAATAAATTATGAGGTCGTTGCGAACCAGACAAATGAAAACATATTGCGAACCATTGTCCTATTGGTTGTTAATGATTTAATAGTTTGCCGATAAACTGTTTATTTTGCTACATATTTTAAAGACTTTAAGCAGAAGTAGAAATTTTCTTTAACTTAAAAAAAAATATATAGCAAAAACAAAATTTCAATTTATTTGATTTAGATAATAAAATTGAAGAGCAAACAATTTTTTAAATTTAATAACCGTAGTAGTCATTAAAATGTAACGACTTGATTGGCAGAAAAGTTCTCATTTCACTGGTTCGCTTTTCGCGGTTCGCATATCGCAATTTACCAATTAATATGATTAAAGTCATTAGAGGGGGAAAG